GGTTAACATCTATTTTCTGTCCAGGGTTAACATCTATTTTCTGTCCTGGGTTAACATCTATTTTCTGTCCAGGATAATATCTATTTTCTGTCCAGGGTTAACATCTATTTTCTGTCCAGGTTTAACATCTATTTTCTGTCCAGGGTTAACATCTATTTTCTGTCCAGGGTTAACATCTTGAGGGATCTTGTTGCCAACCATTGTACCATCTTTATTAGTTCTATGTCAGTTTGATCTTTTCTCTTCTTTTCTTTTATCTGTCTGATCAGTTTGACTGTTTGATCAACCTCAAAAGCTAACATGCACAAGTTAACATGCAAGAAAAAATTCCTCGAGTAAATTCTGAGAAATAGTGATAACAAATTTAAACTGTAACAAGATGGCCGGCCGATATGATTTGATATGCATAACTAAGAACAAGAGGAACACTTTTGTGAAATTAGAGAAAGATTCCTCCAATACAATTTGAGCAATAGGGCTAAAATACTTTTACTCTCAAATTCAAGATGGCTGCCTGTTGGCCATCTTGGTTTCTTGATCAGTCCCAAAATATGAGATGCATAACAACGGATCATGGGGAACCTTCATGCGAAATTTGAGAAAGATTCCTCCAGTACTTTTTGAGGAACAGCGCTAACAAATTTTTAACTCTCAAATTCAAGATGGCTTGCCGTCGGCCATCTTGGTTTTGTGATTAGTCCTTAAAAACGATATGCATAACTAAGTATCATGGGAGATCATTCCAATAAATTCTGGGAATTGGCACTAACAAACTTTAACTCTCAAATTCAAGATGGCTGTCTGTTGTGCATCTTGGTTTTGTGATCAGTCCCAAAAAACGATATGCATAACAAGGGATCATGGGAACTTATATGAGAAATATAAGAAATATCCCTCCAATACTATATGAGTATGCTGTTCCTTAGAAAGTACTAGACAGTGACTTACAGTTCTAGTACCCCTGGTATATATGGACACATACTGGTATTATGGGGAGTGTGAAGTATTAGCCTGTGGCTTACAGTTCTAGTACCCCTGGTATATAGAGACACATGCTGGTATTATGGGGAGTGTGAAGTGTAAGCCTGTGACTTACAGTTCTAGTACCCCTGGTATATTGAGACACATGCTGGTATTATGGGGAGTGTGGAGTGTTAGCCTGTGACTTACAGTTCTAGTACCCCTGGTATATAGAGACACAAGGAGACAAACACGAACATATCGCAGCCTCCCAAAATACACACACATACACTACACGCATGCACCTTGCACACAGGGGAGGCTGTCCTTAAATGACCTTAGCTGTTAATAGGACGATAAACAAAATCAAACAAACAAACAAACAAATATAGAGACACATGCTGGTATTATGGGGAGTGTGGAGTGTTAGCCTGTGACTTACAGTTCTAGTACCCCTGGTATAAAGAGACACATGCTGGTATTATGGGGAGTGAGGAGTACTAGTCTGTGACTTACAGTTCTAGTACCTCTGGTATATAGAGACGCATACTGGTAGTATGGGGAGTGTGGAGTACTAGACAGTGACTTACAGTTCTAGTACCACCGATATATTGAGACACCTACTGGTTGTATGGGGGGTGTGGCGTGTTAGCCAGTGACTTACAGTTCTAGTACCCCTGGTATATTGAGACACATGCTGGTATTATGGGGAGTGTGGAGTACTAGACAGTGACTTACAGTTCTAGTACCCCCGATATATTGAGACACCTACTGGTAGTATGGGGAGTGTGGCGTGTTAGCCAGTGACTTACAGTTCTAGTACCCCTGGTATATTGAGACACATGCTGGTATTATGGGAAGTGTGAAGTGTTAGCCTGTGACTTACAGTTCTAGTACCCCTGGTATATAGAGACACATGCTGGTATTTTGGGGAGTGTGGAGTACTAGACAGTGACTTAAAGTTCTAGTACCCCTGGTATATTGAGACACATGCTGATATTATTGAGGGAGTGAGTGTGAAGTTTTAGCCTGTGACTTACAGTTCTAGTACCCCTGGTATATTGAGACATATTTAACAATAGATCAGCTTAGGTTTTATATTTATTGTACAATATCTAACACCATGCATACAAATGTAATCCAAGGAATAAACATTAATATTTATCTTGTTCAAATTTAATCTACATGTATCTGAAGTCTAATAATAAATCAATCACAGAGTCTATCAAATTGGCCATTTCCATTGATTCTTGGGTGCTTCGGCGATCAATGGTTCCCACGCTCTGCATTCCAATATTTGTCGTGACAATTTTAGTTCTCGTTTGGCCTGCAAAACAAAACAGGAAAACAATTTCATCATATTATTTTTATGAAAATACAATAGATGCAAACTGTATTTACTTAAAACAAATTTAAACTGTACGAATATACACATGATTTAAAAAATGGGTAAGACAGAAGTTCACACACTTCCGAACTCTACACAGGCACTCGACATGTTCAGCTACTTGGTCACCGTGAGCAGAACCTCAGCAAGAATATTTAATGAAGAAAACAATATACAAAATTTGAGTGTTTTCCATAGTTATTGAAACGAACTTCAGTGACTTTGTGTATTGTGAGGGTGATTCTGCTCGCCATATGGGGTATAAAATACTTGAAGAACCTCCTCAATTAATCTGTCATTGATGTGTGAAGGAAGCTAAGTGTGACAAACAGAGAGATGGGCCGAAGTACAAAAGTTCACCCACTCAAGCAAAGGGGAGATAATTACCTGAAGAACAACCTCCTCAATTAGCCCATCGTTAATCTGTTGCTCCAATTTCTCAATATTTGGTTCCTGAAACAAAGCCGATCAAACACTCTAAAAGTTTTAAGTTAAAATGTAACACATCGTACACTTTCTTAATTAACTTCACTATAATGAAAACAATTTTCAGTTATTCGAAACGTTGGCACTTCCAAGATAAATATATGAATACTTTATTCAAAATACACAGTAATATAAAGTACAATTTAATCTTGTAAAATGAGGTTGCTTAGCAATTCTCAAGCATTTGATAAGATTACCAACCTGCAAGTTTTGAAAATCATCACTACAGTGTAGTAAATCATTTATGATTCCTCTTTGCTCTAGTTAAAGAACGAAGAGCTGAACTTAAATTAATTCAAAGTGGTTATAACCCAAAACCTATTGACAAAAGTTGTTACCTTTTCCACTAGGGCGAGTCTATTTTTAATGATAGATTCTGTGTTTTGTCTGTAGGCAGCATCTGCTGGCATTTTTGCCAATGTTCTTAAAGTCTTGTCATAGAATGTCTTCAAGTTCTACAACAATAACATAAGGATGTTTATTTATCTCTACATACAATCAATATGGTGTAACAAAGTGATGCATTATTACAGTTTTTGTAACAATCGTTTCTATTGAAATGCCTCTGCCAGGACTAAAGATTACAACATTAGTCAAGTTTGAAAGTAAAGAAGAGTACTGGTAGGTACATATACATGCTGAATCACTAAATAATGTTTCTGCATCTTCTTCATTTTTAACAACACAAACATGATTTTGTTTATTCTATCTGACCAATAGTAACAATCATGAATTAATTTCAAATAAAAAGTCAGTAAAACAAAGGTCTAAATTCTAAAATATGCAATTTATGTGGCGAGAATTAGTATATTTCTAATGATTGAGAGAGCATTCAAAAGCAGAATAATATTTCTGGAATTATTTTCTGGCTTGAGGCAAGAACTGTTTTAAGGAATTACATCTTACTTCATGAGCAAATGGATTAACTGCCAACCGAGTGAGACCCGTCGTCTGAAAAATAAAAATATACATATCATAAAACATAAAAATGGCATTTCTATTCAGCTCTCATAAATGATGAAATGTTGGATTTTTTTTGTCATACATGTATATACTTGTTAAGGGGCACCATAACACAGCAGTTTAACAGCACTGACCGTCAACAGTATGAGGCTAATGTTAGCTGTTGGTACAAGTTGCTGTGTCCTTCAGCTAGATACCTTTACCATAGTTCGCTAAAAACCGGTGACCAATCAGAATTTCTAAGCCTGCGATTATGGTCAGTTTTAGCGAACTATGTTCAACATTAACACTCACTGTAAAGCCTCGGGATGGATGGGAGTCATGGATGAATGGTCCGAGTCAGTCATTATTGAGTAACAATCTAATGTTTTCATCTTTGATAGATTCTGTAGGGGGTTACAAAGTCATGTTTGAGCACCAAAACTTTCAGTATAGATCTGAATCTGAATAGGTACATCGCTGGAATCATATTCCTGGCATTAACGCAACGGACGAGAGAGAGCGCAGCTAGCCTTACATGGCCGTAAGGCCAGCCGTGAAGGCTGTCTAAGTACTGGCAAGTACTTGGTGGTTTTCTTATTGATTCCACTCCCTAATTGTTCTTACAAAGAAGCTATTTCTGTAAGTGTCAGTTTTTGCTGGTATATTTACTAGGCACTTGGAGTGGCTTGTCTGATGGTCTTCAACAATGTTTTTACAATGGTAGTCCTCTATAATCTTTTTGTTGTTTGGATACGTCTTTTGTTTTGTGGTTGTTTAGTAATGTGATGAGATGGAGGTAACGCTGGCATGCGCAATAGCCCCTCAACCACCCAATAGCCCCTCAACCACCCAATAGCCCCTCAACCACCCAATAGCCCCTCAACCACCCAATAGCCCCTCAACCACCCTGTATAAAAATGTGAGACGTAACTCCCTCCGCCTTTCTCGCAGTGTTTTTAGGTCCAGATCCTTCAGCATGGATTCAACACTGCCTCTTTCCCTGGACATGCATGTAGTCTCCACAGATGAAACGTGCTCGCCTCTGGATCCGTTCCAGTTTCAAGATGATATGTCTTATTTTAAGCGAGGGTCCCATTAGGCCGAATTATTCTGATGTTTTATCGACTTTTTTTATATCGGTCTGTCGTTGATTATAAAAAAAGTCGATAAAATGTCAGAATAATTTGGACTGGGGTCCCATATGATAGCACTATTTTCCATTGTAGATCTAGACCTTACAAGTGATACATAGGCATTTTTCTTACATATTTTTGAGCTTTGTCGTAGGTTCCGACATAGGAATCCCAATGTAGAACTGGTTATACTATAGTGTAATGGAAAGCGAAAGTAGATCCAGGCGGAAAGAGTCCTGCTACAATTACATCCACGTAAAACGTGATGGAGATACAGATGGATCCGATCACGTGGGTTACAGAGGGTATAAATACAGGTGAGCTGAGCCTGCCAGTAAGATTGAGACCGATCACAGTGCTATACAGACCAAGCTAACAACGGCAGGTTTATATAGGAAGCCAATTGCAACTAAAGCTAGGTAATATATATGCCCAAATAGCGTGTAGGTATATTAAAGGCCTGAATAAGGCCATACTACATGTTTATCAACACCGATAGACACTGTCAGCGAAGGGTGGTCTGTGAGACATGCACGTTGGCTACCACTACTTACGGTTGTAGTAAATCCGATACATGTATATATTGTACTAAGGGGACGGTGTAGATATCTCAAATCCCAGGCAGTGACCTGGTAACGAACCCCCTTACACGTCACAATAGTACTAATATTAATATCCGGCCAATATAAAAAAATCTCTCGTCAGAAAGCTACGTTATCACAGCTAGCTTTACTAGATATTGTTTATATGTGTATTCCATTTCAGGTCTTCCAAGATCATAAGACTGAGGTATGGATTCTTCGATACAGATTTGAGTATATGGTTGTTTAGGTCATAGAAATGTGATGATTTACTGATATTGAATGTACCTTGTGAGTTGTTTTAAAGACGTTGGGTAAATAACAAGATTAGACTTGTGCAGCATAACCCCTCCCTGAGTGTTATCGTCAGAATAAAAGTCAAATAAGTATCAACACATATACTCAGTACAGATAGTACGTTTTCGCCTGCGATACAAATATCATCAAGGTCACCCAGACAGGTGGGAGCACGAGTTTGTTTTACTGTCCTCACTTTATTGGTTCTAATGTTACAGAGAAGACACTTTTATGATTAAAATACAATCAGCATGATGTGTTACCAATTCTCTCTTCCATTAGAACACTTGTTATTTTCACTTACCGTCTTCAAAACGTTCTTTGCGGCCATTTTTACCGGAAGTTCAATCCTGAGATTGGTGCCGAAGTCGAGATGACAAAGGCTTTTTGATTGGCTAATGTTTTAAGAGATGATTTGATTTCAGCCTCAGTACCAGGAGTACTTGGTCACCAAGTTGGTGCAGTGTTTGGTCCATCTTACATGATAAGAAGGTATAATTAAAAACAATGAAGGAGAGGGAAGATGCTTTTGACAGCAACTGCCACTGTAAATCGTTAATAATATTAGACTTGCACAAGTTCGAATTTATGTTTGAAATCCAAAAGAGAATTTAAACAATATTTAATTAGACTAATCCAAACCAAAATATCACAGGGGCCTTAATGTTTTTGATCATGTTTGCATGTCTCCAGCGATTTTAAGTCTGATTTGAAATAGATCCCAACAATTGAAAATAATAATAATTTTATGTTAGCTCACCTGGTCCGAAGGCATACCGTGGCATCCGTCTGTCCGTCAATTTTCCTTTAAAACGCAGCTAGTCCTGAATGGCCCAGTAGATTTTGACTAAATTTGGTCTGTAGCATCCTTAGGCGAAGGGGACTCAATTTTGAATAAACGGTGGATGTGGCCCCCTAGGGGCAGAGGGGCGGGGCCAAATAGGGAAAATAGAGGTAAAACCTTTAAAATCCTTCTTCTACCATAGGGATTAAGGTATTTTATCCTAATTTAGTCTGGAGCATCCTTGGGCCAAGGGGACTCAATTTTGTATAAATGGTGGGTCTGGGCCCCCCTTGGGGCTGAGGGGCGGGGCCCAATATGGGAAATATAGCAAATTCTTTAAAATCCTTCTTCTTCTGTAGTAATGAAAGGATTTGTTCGATATTTGGTCAGAATTTGAAGCATCCTTGGGGGAAGGGGAACAAAATTTGTTTAAATGGTGGGTCTGGCCCCCCTTTAGGCTGAGGGGCAGGGCCCAATAGGGGAAATATATCAAATTCTTTAAACTCCTTCTCCTTCTGTAGGAATGAAAGGATTGGTTCCATATTTGGTCTGAAGCATCCTTGAGTAAAGGGGAACCAATTTTGTATAAATGGTGTGTCTAACCCCCCCTGGAGGCAGAGAGGCGGAGTCCAATAGGGGAACTAGAGATTAAACCTTTTAAATCCTTCTTCTACCACAGGGATTAAGGGATTTTATTTTATCCTAATTTAGTCTGGAGCATCCTTGGGGTCTCAATTTTGTATAATTAGTGGGTATTACAACCCCCCCCCCCCACCCCCGGGGCATAGGGGTGGGGCTCTGTTTGAAGTTTGTTCTGCTATATCTCAAGTACTGGATGGATCTATCTGAAACATATGTACTTACAGCACAGCGGCCATGGTGTGCTATATCTTTACTTCATACCAATTATTTTAAACATATTCAGGTGAGCGATACAGGCCCCTTGGGCCCCTTTACCTACCTCTGGGTAGGTAAAGACATTTGAACTCTTTCATGCAAAGGGGTGTTTGATAAATAGATTTCACCAAGGTAATTTGAACCATTTTGAAATTCATGTCATTGCTGTTCCATTGTGATATCACTTATGTGAAATAGGGTGTAAGATGGAAATGTAGGCACCCCCTTCGATGTTATAATTCAGGAATGATAGAAAGATCAATATTTTCCTTAGAACAAATGGGAATGCACCTGTTAAGTGTGGGAGAAATATTTCCCTTATGTAGCTCCACTTCGCCAATTTAATCAAAACTTTTGTAATAGGAAGGAAGTAGTGAAAGGAACAGTGCCACAGCTTGTGATCAAAACCTTTATGCTGCTCCTAGCTGTACTCCTACATCTAAGATGGTCACCCTGTTTAGGACAGGTGGATGTTAAGTCTGAGAGAATTACTAAGATGGTCACCCTGTTTGGGACAGGTGGATTTTAAGTCTGAGAGAGTTACCAAGATGGTCACTCTGTTTCGGACAGGTGGATATTGATGTCTGAGAGAGTTACCAAGATGGTCACCCTGTTTAGGACAGGTGGATGTTAAGTCTGAGAGAGTTACCAAGATGGTCACCCTGTTTAGGACAGGTGGATGTTAAGTCTGAGAGAGTTAC